TAAAATGAAATTTGTTTCAATAAAGCAATAAATGTAAACAGAACTCTCTCCAGACAAATATTTTTCTCTGTGAATGTGAGAAGAATAACCGAATATAATTGATTAATTTCTTAAAACTTATCCTTATAGAAATTTAATACTAGTACTGACCGATTAATCACTTATTTTGAATATTAAAAATACTGTTAATAATATTTTTAATATCAATAATAATATCAAAAGAATATTTTTAATTGTAAAATTTAATTGTAAAGTGATAAATTCGTCACTATTAATATCAAATTTCTATAAGAGAGATAACTTATTGCAAGAAGTCCATATAACTTAAAAACTTTTGCCTATTTACACGCGCAATATTAGCTGCGAACTTTCCACGTGCTTTCGAAATATCAAAGAGTCTCAGTATATATAATAAGGTCACTCCCGGATTTACTCCTGTTGAGCCATTTTAAAGCTGTAAAGCGGAAAGAGCGTAATTTTCAGTATTTACTTAAATGAGAATAAATTTCCGCGAGCTTTAAGTCTGAAGACTAGCTTTTTATGAGATATCGTTTAAAATTCCATAATATATGACAAGAGATCCGTAATATATGTACAATAATTAAAAGCCTTCCTTTATGCAGAAGTCTAATACTGGCCAATTTAATCCTCACCGTATACACCGTTTTTTGTACGCATTAAGTGTACACGGAGGTCGTTATAATGTCTGACGTGTTTTTTTAATGAATTAAATGATTTAAAAAATTCATGTAGTTTCCTAAATATTCTAAATAAAAAATTTTTACATAATTTTAAAAATTCTATTTGTTTAAATATTTTATTTTTGCAAATATATATATATATATACCAAAATGCGAGTAGTGATATGTTTAAAAATTTGTAACTTTTGAACAAATCAACAAAATCTAATCATTAAAAATGGAAAAGAAAGGTACATATTTAAGGTACATATTTTAATTAAAAAAATTAAATATATTTAATATTAATTTATAAATTAATATTAAATTTTTTTAATAATAAATGATTTATTACAACCGTATATATGAATACAACTAAGAATTTAAAGCTTATAACGATCGGAACTAGAAATAAAGCCTATAACAATCTTTAATGCTTAAATTTTTTTTAAATTTAAATGCTTAAGTTCGAGACATGAAGTCTTATAATTACGAAATTTATAAAAATAAGTATTCGTATGAAAAATTGATATTTAATTTTCAAAAATTCATTTTTTATTTAAATCTATAGTTCACAATTATCTCATTTCACACTTTCGTAAATATAAAAATACGGAATGACATTGTAAGAGAAGAACAAAAAGAAATCGTAATACCTTTTCGGCAGAGCGATTTGTCATTTTATTCTAAGATAACACTAAATAAAAAATTTTTCGTTTTATATATATATATTTTACTTGTAAAAATAGTCGAGAAACACGAAAAAATCATTTTACTTATTTATATGACAAATATGCATTGCGTGTAAACGAGTGTCATTTGTGTTCGCGCTCGATTTTTAATACCTATCCGTTGCAACGAAAAAATAACGTTCACTGCCGGATTTTCACGGATATCTTCTCTCACTCCCATAAGTTTTTTTAGGAGCAGAATGGCGCATCCATACTCACTTCTTTTTAAAATATTCATCATATTCATAATTTGAAAAATCACTTGGAACATCGTTTACGCAATGAAAATTAATACTAGCCGATTTATTACTAAAAGATAGTAATTAATCACTTATTTGAAGTAATGAAAAGTATTCAAGAACAGCTTTGAATATTAAAAATAATTAATTATTGTCTTTTAATATTAGCCAATATTAAATTTCTAAAGATTGGTTGAGAAGATACAATATATAATATCATTTATGGAAGCAAAAAAGAAAAGATTCTATAATATATTTGAAGCGAACAGCTTTTATAAGATTTTCGAAATTCGTTTCTCTTATCTATTCTATGATAAGTAATGAAAGCTTTGAAAAAATTAACTTACGCTAAAAAGAATATAGAAAATGTGTATAATTGTTTCTCCGCAAAGCTGTTTTATTAAAATAGTAATTAATTTGCAATTTTTCCTTTTTATTTCCTTTTATCTTTGCGGTAATATCTTTGCGGTGATTCCAATTAACGCGCTGAAAAAAGATGAAATTAAAGACTAACAAATAAAAAGAAAAGATAAGAATGTTGAATCGCGCACATAATTAATTAAGGGCCTACGTTAATTGAATGCTAATGAGAGTGATATTTGTAATTGCCGTATTATATCTCGTTTATACAGATGGAGCTTGTATATTATTACGCGAGATAGTAATACAACGTAATACAGAAATAGTAATACGTACAGAGAGAATTGATTAAATCAATACCGGTATGCAATTTGTAATCCAACTGTTATGTTCATTCCACGCGTATTGCAGAACATTTATCGTTTTAAGGATGATAAAACGCAAATCGAGGAACGAACAATCAGTCTCTCGTAATGATCGACGTATATAATGTCTTTTTTTATCCCATATAACGTAATTGAAGTAATTCAGGCACAAATTCCTCATCCTAAGGTTCCACAACTTTTCCCTAATTTCCAGACAAACTTTCATGATTTTTCCTAATTTCAATAATATTTTGAATTTTTTTTGTATTTTTGCCATTGATTTGGAAAACTATTAAATATTTGATTGAAAAATTAGTTTAACATAGCAATGTCAATTACTATTAATAACTAATTAATCACTTTATACTGTTTGCAATTTTAATTATTAAGTTGATAGTATTCCAAAATAGATATGATATACGTACATTAAACTTCTTTAAAGAATTTTAATTTTCCAGAATTTTTGTAAAATTCCCTAACTTTTTCTTAATTTCCCTGATATTTCTCTGATTTCTTTGATTTTTAATCTTATGGCAATTTTGATTATAATAGATTTACATTTACAAATATGAATTTACGTTAATTTATTGATATTTTGCATTAATTATTTACGCGTCGAACCGCAAGATAATTTTAAACTCATTTATCACGACTGTATTGAGAAACGGCATTCAACAGCGTTTTATCCTATATATGTCTCAAGACATCAATTTTCGAGTTTGACATTTCAAAAGTAGATGAACTCTCACGTTACTAAATAGTCAAATAAAACGTTCGTCATCAATTTCATTCGCTTTATTCGAATGTAAGCTTAAGACATCAAATTTTGAAATTGAATTCCTCTGAAAGATTAGGTGTGCCCTCACATCTGTGTGATAATGTTTTACATGTTATCGATACATGATAGATGTATAGAATCTTGAAATTGTAAAATTGTATGCACAGCGTTTCATCTTAAAAAATTCGAAATCAATTTTTCTTTAACGAGAAGATCACAATTTATCACAACTTTTCGAACTTCGGCATCTTGTATCGTAATTAAATTTCTAATTAAAAGTTAAAATGTACTTCATATTGAGCACCAAATAATCTTACACTTGTTCTTTTCAAATTTAATTCATAAAAAAGTTTTTCGTTCTTGTTTTCTTGTAATTTAAGAATAATTTATTAGTACTTCAAAGATATCTTTACCATTGAAAATTGGAATTTTTGGAGGAATATATTTCTATTTTTCTTAATTTTAAGAAATTCTATATAATGTAAAATGTAGTTATTTAATAATTATATAAATAAAGGATTCGATTTGTATATAGATGATACAATATACACCTAAAATGATGTTTACGTAAAATGTTTGATCCATATATAAAATACACTGTTTATTATCTTCACTTGTGAAATAAATTCTGTTTGTGAAATAAATTCATTGCCTCAATAAGAATTTTCGAAAAATGTCAAAGGAAAACGTATTCTTAGTAAGCAAAAAAAAGCTAATAAATACTACTGTCAATAATAACGATAATTTTCTACATTTCATTACACAACTAAGAATTTTCTATATATTAGTTAAAAATTGGAATTTAGTAGAAAAATTATATATTTATTTTTATTTTTATATAAATGTAACACAAGATCGTACTTTGCCTTCAAACACGTACGTGTTACTACGTCAATAATAAATAATAAACGGATGTTTGCTCGTAAATCGAATGAACGCAACCATTGAAAAAGAAAAACATCTGCATTGAAACGAATTACGTTTGCTCAATTGCTTCAAAGTCACTTTAACATTTCAATCCCTAATGAAGTTATATTCTTCGTGGGTGTGCAAGAGTTATTTCTAGAAAAAAGAATAGATTGTGGGTCCGATTTCTAAAACTAAATATAAAAACTTGTCCCCATATCAGGAAATATTGAATTGCACATAGTTACAACGAAGTTTTGTATAAGTTTCTATTTTATAGAAGCAAAATAGAAATATCGAAGAATTTTTAACAACACATTTTCGTTATAAACTCATATTTTTATATAAACTTTTTTAAATTTTGCAGACGTGGCAGAATAGATGCGTACTTTTATGCAGAGTGAGACACAATCTCTCAATTATCATATCAAATATCAAAGCTTTAGATATAAAAATATTTTATTTACATATTAATTATATTTACATAATATTATAACTGTGTATACCATCCTATAAATTATAATTTTATAGATAACCGTATTAACAAATCTACGTTAACATTTAACATTGACATAAAGATCTGAACAAATCTCATTAGATTCGAATTTAATTCATTTATGAATTTAAAGAAGATTCTGTTAAAAAGATATTAATTATATAATAACTTTGCATGTGTTTAACTTTGAGTGTTTTAAAAACGCAAATCTGAATCATACCGCATGATTTTTTTTTTTTTTTAATATAGTCTTTCACTTTGCGCGCGCGTAAGCGAGTTAAAATTATGATAGCTTTTTACAATAAGACATTACCTCAGCTTTAATTGATTATTCTTCTCACATTTGATTATGATTGATCAATTTCTTACGGCTTAAGACTTAAAGTTTAGGTAATGCTTATTATATATAGAAAGCCCATTAGATTTAAACATTCGGGACAGTACCAACCTGAAAGCGTGAAGATAGCAAAGAAGATGATCGTTGAGAGCAGATAGTCAGCAAAAGAGGCTTACAACTTCGTCGCGCTTGTTCACCCCCTTTATTGCACCGGTAGACTTCGAGTCAGTCTGAATGGGACCGCGAATTTGCACGAGGGATGTGATATCCCCGAATTTGATCCCCGAAGTTCTGGCTTGGTGACTTGGACAGACGTCCGTACGGAAAGGCGATGGGATGGTGCGGAGAATCGCGGGATGTCTCGCGATGTAACGCGCGAGATGGAGGGTGAACGAGAAGAAAACGGAGATCACCGTCGACGTATCGCGAACGTGAATGTGGACGATGGCTCGATGAAGAAGGACAAAGGGTTGCAAAGACAAGTGTCGCGTGGGGTGATCAGCGTGAGGCCCGGACGAGAACCGTGTGACAGTGGCGAGAACAGCCGGAGATCAGCCCTTAAATACGCGCTGTTCCAACTGCCATGCGCGTTTCATGGGGCGCCAGAGAAATCATACGTCGACGCGTAACTTACCCTCTCTCGCCATCCTTCACCTTCCTTGCCGTACCCAGGACGCACGCGGGGTTGAGATGCGACACACATTCTCATACAATACGCACGAAATAAAAGTTTTATTAGTACGAAAAGACATATTTATGTAAGGTAATGTGGCGAAGAAACGTGATCCCGATCGTAGTTGAACTTGTTGCTTTCACGGAACCTGGAAGACGTGAGGCAACGTGCATGCAAACATGTACAAGGTGATACTTGTATGGGGATACTTAAGAAATACGAGACGGTTCGATTTTTCTACATAAAATACAACATATGATGTAATAATGGAAATAATGACAATGATATGTAGATATAGTTAATAAATTACATTCGATAAATAAAATAAGTCACATGGAAATTATATATAATATAGTAATAGAATACACTTGTATATTATTATTAATTATCACGTACTGAATTAATTATGATACCTACATTTATTAATCCGAATTATGTAAAAGGTCATCTTTTATAATTTATGTTATATTCGCAGCTGTAATATAATTTTTTAATATTTATTATTATAATTTTTCAACGAAATTTTTAATTAATTTCCTTAATTTCGAAAATTTTGAAAAAAATGTAAAAAATTAATTAACTGCCGTATTATATCAAAAACAAAACAAGACATGATAATCAGAAACCAGATTGGCGTCAAATGACGTTAAAATGAATCGTAAATATTTTGGAGTCATTCTGATATCATATTATAATGACTTGATGTTCTGCTTTTATGCAAAGCATTTTAGTTTCTATGTCAGTCTTTATACAACGTTATATAATTATTTGACGTAGAGTTTATGTCATTATCTCATATTGGTAATATGTATTGTTTTATTTGTCTATAAATTTAGATGGAATGTACAGTAGTAATAAAATAGTGGGTAATTTATGTGTGTACAGAATGTGTAGTAAATAGTATGTAATTTATGCGGTCACACACACGTGGAACTCTACTCTTGTATCCATAAGATGACGGAAATTTTTCTCGAAATAACTTTTCATATGTCTGCTCATGTTTTATTTATCTTAGCAGAAAGATAACGTACATATTTTGTGCTTTTGTGTAATTTTCTTTCAAAAGACTTCTGTAAAAAGCTCCTTTTAATAATAAGCGCATTCATTTCAGAAAAGATTTTAATAATATTTACATAATTGTGTACGGGTCTATTTTATTGCATAAGACTCTTATTTTCTACAACTTTGTTTCTTATCACAATTTCTTGCAATTCAAATATTTATCAATAGAAAAAAAAAGCATGTTAATTTTTAATAATAAGATGAGAATCTAAAGAAACTTTCAAGTTTTTTTAAGATATGACAAAATATGTGGAATTCATTTAATTCTAAAAATAGATAACCAGTCTTATAAAGGGCTGTCATCAAATAGTGATGATTGCTTAATTTTTAGGAGTCTTAACGAGATCTAATTGCATTATGTACATTAAAGTATACATATACAAATATATAATAAATAAATAGCCTGTATTAAATAAATAGCCTATTTGCATTAGCTTAATATGATAAATGCTGAATGTAATAAGTAAAGTTTACAACACACACTGCATTTTTTCTTGCTGGATTTATATAGAATTACTAAAAATTCTATGTGATGTAGTTTTAGCAATTTATTGAAACGCGAACAATCCAGCAAAAATAAATCGTGTGTATAGGTTTAATTGTTAATAGTTATTGATAGAATTGTATTAATACAGATTTAATCCTGAGCATTGTAAGGCGTCAGGTGCGATACGAATGACGCGATTAGGGATTTTTCATTGAACTATAGGCGACAGATTCTCCCACATAAACTTGGAAGTTCTTCGTTGCCTCTCGTCCTATACATACTATATATCTCTAAAATGGAAATGCCGATAAGAGCGACATCTCCGTAATCATAAATTTAACTTTAAAATTATCAACGTATTAACAATATATATAGTTACATTAAAAAAACTTAGAAACTCTTCTTTTTTATCGGAATCAATTCATATGTAATAATAATAATAATTTAATTGCATAAAACACAAGATCAATTTACGATAACTCAAATAATTAAACACGAATGAAAAAAATTTACATGCAAAAGATAAGACATCAATAAAACTGCCGCTATAATATCAATAATGAAAATATGATCAAAGCGCAAAATAGAAATTTCGTAAAACGAACAAAACTCCCAGTGAAATGACAGTGAAATCGATATCAAATCGACGTCGATTCCATTATCATTTCTCACTGAGAAGAAAGCAAACAATATAAACAGCAAACAAATCATGGAACAGAACATGAATCAATTAAAAAATACCCATGGACTTATCTCGTGAGAAATGGATAAAATTATATTATGTAACGCAAATTTTTATTAATTCAATCATCGTACATATGTTTTTGTTTAGATTCTATTTACATTCCTTAGTATACACGATTGGGTCATTCGTTTTTTGCACATTTCTCTTTTTTTTTTTTGAAAAAGTAGGAGCATCAAGTAATTATTATAACATTTACATACAAATTTTTAAGTACATAATTTTTAAATACTTAAAGATGTTAAAACATGTAAAAATCGCTTAATAATTTTTGTATATTTGTTAAAGTGATGAAAATAATTCGGGACACGAATGACACATTGTGTGTAATAATTAAAGAAAACTCGGAAAATCAATCATGTATTAAATTAGACATTTTGCATAATGCATGATACATAATACATAAGAAAATGAATCAATCAAAGCCTTACTTTCTTTCCTTTCCTTGAAATAATTAAAAAACTATTGATTTTTTTATGCCTTATGCAAGAATCTGTGTTCTCGTCAATTAATAGACTCTCTGCAACAAGTCATTACCTTAAGCCATAAGAAATTAACCAATCATGATCGATTATTCTTCTCACATTCGACTGTGATTGATCAATTTCTTACGGCTTAAGACTTAAAACTTAGGTAATGGCATATTGTAGAAAGCTCATAAGGATTAAACCTAAATAAAGAACATGTGTATAACAGAACATGTACTGATTGAACCAATCGAAGTATACGCTACATTTTTTATTAATTTTTCCAGACAAATCTGTCTAGTGTACGTGTTTTCTATCTGATTAAATGGAAGAGAGTTTCAGTCACGCCGAATTTTCCATATACATGTATATATATACATATATA